GAGGGGTAACCATGTTAGATCACTAACTCCTTGAAATACAAATGTCTTCCGGATTGATTGCCCATAAACTCCACCCTTGGTCTAACACTGTTACCTGTTCCATGCATAGCTAATCTGTTCCTCCTTCCCTCTCTGAGTAAAATTTCTTTTCCCCGTTTTTCCATACAAATGTTTAACTTTAATATAACAGTATAAAATACACACTAATATAAGCATCATCAAAATACCAAATAGAAGTATAATCACAGGGTGCCAAGCCAATTTTAAATGTTGGTCATTGTAGGGAGCTATCCTGAATATATGTCCCACCAATGGTACTATAAAAGAGAGTTACTCCAGAGATGGAAAAGAAGTCTCCTGAGGGTACTGGGATAGTGGAGCAGGACCTAGCCCCCTGTCACACATCAGAAGTGGGGAAGAAATTCATAGCAGAGCAGCAAATACAGGTACTTGATTGGGCAGGGAATTCCCCGGATGTAAATCCCATTGAGAATTTGTGGGCTATATGCAAAAGTCGCCTCCGTACTGTAGACTGTACGACTATGGAGAAACTCATTCAGGCACTGATTCAAGTGTGGTACAGGGATCCAAAAATCAACAGTAACTGTTCAAATTGACTTTCAGGGAATACTGTCTAGAATGGCCCCTGGGCCACTGCTTTTACCTTTATGATATTCTACCGATTTTGACGTAGATTGAGTATTATTGTTTCAAATCAGTACATATTAAATGTTTGGGGGGGAATTGAAAGGAAACCCACATCCCGCCCACCTTAGAAGTCCACAGTTGGTTAAAAGATGAAGGTCTAGTTAAAAAGGAATTACTCATTTTGCTAAGCTCTCATATTAACAGTTTCACCACGTTTAAGAAACTCAGGAAGAAGGATGGGCATGTGTGTACTTCCTGACCCTCTGAAGATACCCAGCCTCCTGTGCCTAACCCCATCAGGAAGGCCTTAGGACTTCTCAGCAGAAGCTCCACCGGCCTGGAAGAATACCCACAATGCCACAATGTCATGTACCTTGTAGGGCCACTGCATTCTGGGTGGCAAGGAACTTCAACTCCATACCGGCCGATGGGAAGAGCAGCTCCATGATCGACCAGGCCATGGCTGGGTATTGCCCCTCCATCTTCCAGAAGTAGCACATCAGGTGTCTTGGGATACATACCTGCAAATACAGTCCTGTGAAAACAAGGCCCTCCATGCCAGCTGAGACCTAGGACCAAACAGCTAAACCCCAGATTGCCCAAGATACCCCAAATAAAAAAAACATTTTCTGCAATCTACCCCCCCCCATTCTTTAACAAAAATCTAATTCTAACCCCCTACTCCCCCACCCACCACACTCTAGCTCAGCGCAATTCCATTGGTTCGATAGACAATACAAGGTGAGAGACACAGGGCAACCCAGATAAGCTGTAGATAAGCAAGATAACTAGCTTAAAAGCAATTACATGTAATTATGTCTGTATGGCATAAATTGGGAAACCTCATCAAAGGAAAACACATCACTTCATATATCAACACCAGGACTGACCATGCCTACCTTAATGGATGAGGAAATGGAATTCATAGACAGTCCTATCACCCCAGAGGAAATAGATATGGTCCTCAAAAACCTCAAGCCGCACAAAGCTCCAGGCCCTGATGGCTTTACAGCAGAATTGTATAGGAAATTCAAAGAACCCCTGATGCCCTACATGACCCGCCTATTCAATGATATCATAAAAGGGTGGGCCCATCCCCAAAACCTGGACCTACTCCAAAATATTGTCCATCCGAAAAACACTGAAAGACAGCCTCAAAGTAGAATCAGACCGCCTAATCTCATTAATAACCCAAGACTACAAGATATTCACACCAAACTTGGCTAACCGCCTAAAAATTTTCCTACACAAATTAATAGGCCCAGACCAGACTGGATTTGTCCCTGGTCGCAATATAGCAGACCCCATCAGGAAACTACTGAACATGATTGCACACAGTGCATGATTGCAACTAAATGCCCACTGACAATTATGTCCATAAACATCCTCAATGCTTTGGACTGCTTAGAGTGGAAATACCTATTAGCAATACTAACAAGAAATTTTTGTTTCAAACACTGCAAATTGTGGACAAAGTGGACTGTTTCAAGAGGTGGCAGAGAGATATTTCCAGATTTGTCTGGCAGGGCAAGAAGCCCAGAATAAAATTTAAAATACTAACAGATGCAAAGGAAAGAGGTGGATTTGCCCTGCCAGACCTTAAACTTTATTATGAATCAGCAGCCTTTTGCTGGTTGAAAGAATGGCTGCTTCTTGAAAACACTGACATTTTGGATCTAGAAGGTTTTAACAATGTATTTGGATGGCATGCATATCTGTGGTATGATAAGGTCAAAGCACATAAAGCATTTAAAAATCACATTGTCAGGAAAGCACTGTATAATGTTTGGATAAGATACAAGGATTTAATGGAAAACAAAACTCCAAGGTGGTTGTCACCAATGGAAGCAAAAGCCCTGAAAAAGCTCAATATGGAGGTCAAATGGCCGAAATATTGGGAAATTTTGGAACAAGATGGAGATAGACTGAAATTGCAGAGTTTTGAAAAATTAAAAAACAAAGTGCGAGACTGGCTTCATTATTATCAGATAATGGAGGCATACAATTTGGACAAGAAAATTGGCTTCCAGGTGGAAAAATCAAAATTAGAAACAGAACTCTTAGAACCCAAAACTAAGAATTTGTCAAGAATGTATAACTTGCTGCTGAAATGGAACACTCAGGATGAAACGGTGAAATCTGCTATGATTAAATGGGCACAAGACGTTGGACATAACATTATGTTCGCTGACTGGGAACAGTTATGGACCATAGGTATGAAGTTTACGGCATGTAATGCCTTAAGAGAGAATATTATTAAAATGATATACAGGTGGTACATAACCCCAGTCAAGCTTGCAAAAATCTACCATTTGCCTGATAATAAATGTTGGAAATGTAAAGAAACTGAAGGTACATTTTTCACCTTTGGTGGACGTGCCCAAAGATTAAGGCTTTCTGGGAGATGATATATAATGAATTAAAAAAGGTATTTAAATATACCTTCTTGAAGAAACCAGAGGCCTTTCTCCTGGTCATAGTCGGCCAATCGGTGTTAAAAAAGGATAGAACTTTCTTTATGTATGCTACAACAGCAGCAAGAATACTTATCGCAAAGTATTGGAAGACACAAGAGCTACCCACACTGGAGGAATGGCAGATGAAATTGATGGACTATATGGAATTGGCGGAAATGACTGGCAGAATCCGTGACCAGGGAGAAGAGTCGGTGGAAGAAGATTGGAAGAAATTCAAAGATTATTTACAGAAATATTGCAAAATTAAAGAATGTTAGAGTGATGTTGGATTGAAATTAAGTGGCTTCTAGCTGTACAGGCTTTAAAGTTATATATAGATCAAGATTAAGGATTAGGATTAAAAAGGTTAAAAGAATGGAAAATTGGTTTTTAAAAGGTAAAAATTTAATGTTATATTATATTAAGATTAAGGATTGGGATTAAAAAGGAGGGAAAGGAATTGCTGGACAAACAAACTGAATTGGAATACAAAAGAGGGAGGTATGAGGAGGTCCGGGAAATAAGTAAATGTAAAAGTAGTGATGAAAAGATGGAATTGTTTTTAACTGTGTTTTCTTTTTTCTTTTTGTATTTTGTATTGTGTATTTTTCTTTTTCTTTTTAAATCTTTTCTCTTTATTAATGTGTATCTTTTCATGTGAAACTTTAATAAATATCATTTAAAAAAAAAAAAGAAATTTGGCCCCAATTTCCTGCAAATCCTCAAACAAATATACTCGCAAGCCTCAGCAATATGGAGGACTAACAATTGGGACTCCAATACCATAGCATTCCAAAAAGGCACAAAACAAGGATTCCCACTGACTCTCTTCTTATTCATCCTGGCTCTGGAACCTTTAGAAATCTGAATCTGAGCAGCCACAGACATGGAGTGGAAATAAAAAGCAAAACCTACAAATTAGGACTCTTTGCAGATGACAGCACCAGACCCCATAAACACTTACACCACACAGAACTCATAACCCAACTACTCTCAGCAGCCAGAAACGTCATAACCAGACACTGGAGAGACCTGTCAGGAGTAAACATGGACCAATGGTACCAAAAACTATGGGAAAATAGTCCTATATTTTTCTAGCCCTACTAGAAAAATTAACAAATAAACTGAAACTGACACGGGAACAAATAGAAAAAGACACTTTCACCCCGGTATGGCTCCCCTTTATCACATACATAGCCCAACAAGACAATGACAAAAATCCACCAAAAGAATACAAATCAATATGGCTAACCTGATCCAAAACACCCACCCACCCCACTCACACATGAAAACAAAGACCACCACTGACAACCACAAATGAACAGGCACACCCTAGGCCAATCCCAACCTCTCTCACCACCAAAGAAAGACAAGTGAACAGCAAAGAACCTGCACAAGCAACGCTGACACAAAACCCCACATATATTAAGTAAAATAGAATCACCCCCACCCCACCCTACCCCACCCCCACTCATCTTTCCTCTCCTCCACCTCTTTCCCCCTATTCTTCCTAATGTCTCAACAAATGGGGGAAAATGTGTTACGTGGGGGGGGGGGGGATACAAGACAGAGACATTGCACATACCTTTGTAAATCAAGAAAATCTTTACTAAAAATACATTTAAAAAAAAACAAATGAAACTGATCTGTAGAAAATGTAACTTGAAAAAAGAAACATTGCACATACTTTTTTAAACCAAGAAATCGTTAATAAAAAAGACATTAAAAATATTTACAGTTTCACCACATTTCAGAAACTCAGGAAGAAGGATGGACATGTGTGTACTTCCTGACCCTCTGAAGATACCCAGCCTCATGTGCCCAACCCCAGCTGGAAGGCCGGCCTGCCTTAGGACTTCTAAGCAGAAGCTCCACCTGCCTGGAAGAAGACCCACAATGCCACAATGCCACCTACCTGGGAGGGCCACTGCATTCGGGGTGGCCAGGAATGTCAACTCCACACCGGCCGATGGGAAGAGCAGCTTCATGATGGAACAGGCCATGGCTTGGGAGTTCCCCTCCATCTTCCAGAAGGACCGCATCCAGAAGCACTGCGTCTTGGGATACATCCCTGCAAATACAGTCCTGTGAGAAGAACGCCAGGAAACGTTTTGCTAGCACAGAGCCTGTCCTCTAAACGGAGAGGCAGAACCTGGGGTGCTCAGAGGCTTTGGGCGCTTTGGCAAAGTAAAAGAGGAATGTTGGACAGCTCTAAGGTGGAATCTAAATACAAATAAAAACCCAGCTAATAAAACACATATTTAAAAAATACCAAAGGCCTTTTTATTAGGCTTGGTAGGAGAAGAATTACCGAAGGATAAGAAAGTACTGTTTATGTATGCGATGACAACGGCAAGGATACTACTTGCCCAGGGATGGAAAGAAGAAAGAGCCCCATCGAAAGGAGAATGGAGAATGAAAATGATGGACTATGCGGAGATGGCAAGGCTGACCGGGAAAATCAGGCACCAAGAGTTTAACCAATTTACTAAAGAATAACATACCTCTAAAGAATATATTAAAGAACACTATTAAAATGTTGACAGGATTGACAGAGCACTTGTAATTTAAAATAACAAAGGATAAAAATGAAGTACCATAATTTGGATAAATGCAATTAGGTGCAGTTTAAAAAGGAAGATAAATTTTGGAAACCAAGGGAGGGGTGGAGGGAAGTCTGGGGGTTCAGGGAACCCCATAAAGGTACTGATATGGACTGTGGTTTAATGTAGGCGTGTGTGTGTGTGTGTGTAAAAAATGTTTTGTTTTGTTTTTGAAACATTGAAAATAAAAAGTGAAAAAAGAAAATACTTTAAGTGTTTTGAAAAATATATTGAATTTGCCATAAGCTCACTCTCGCCATCTAGTGTCACATTTGTATAGTGCACTTAAAACATTGTATATGCATCTGTATAGCTGAGTCTTTAGTCTGTGGCTGTATTTTTGGCACCATTTCCTCTCTTTCCACCAATCAAAGGTGGACCACATGCTTAACATGAGTCAACCGTGTGATGCAGCAGCAACAACAACAAAGCTAACACTGTTCTAGGCTGCATCAACAGAAGTATAGTGTCCAGATCAAGAAAAGAAATAGTTCCTTGCTATTCTGCCTCGGTCAGACCACACCTGGAATACTGTGCACTTCTGGCCACCACAATTTAAGAAGGATGTTAACAAGCTGGAACCTGTGCCAAGGAGGGCAACCAAGATGATCAAGGGTCTAGAAACCAAGTCTTAGGAGGAACGGTTGAAGCAGCTGGGTATGTCTAGCCTGTCTTTAGACAGTGGGACAACCTGCTTTGGGAGGTATGTGGGCTCTCCTTGCTTGGAGGTTTTTCAGTAGAGGTTGGGTGGCCATCTGTCATGGATGCTTTAGTTGGGATTCCTGCATTGCAGGGGGTTGGACTAGATGACCCTTCAGGTCCCTTCTAATTCTATGAAATCCCCATCCCCATCTGATGGGTCTGTTGGTATTCAAAATCTGCTTTTAACAGTCCTATTCTTAACAAAATGAATAACAGAAAGGGCTTATAGGAGAACCATGGTGAATGGTTTGAACAACTCCCAGCAGGTCCAGTCAACATGATGGGCCTTGTGGGATTTGCAATCTGAAACATCTGGAGGACACAAACTTGGTGAAAGCTGCTGCACAGTGAGGCCTCTGCTCAAAAGAGCATCCCTTCTCTGTCAGAGCCAAGGTGTATCTGTCCAGCACGCTGCTTCCATCAAGGACTAACCTGATCCCCCTGGATGTTCTTAAGTGGCTCCCCAGCAGTTGGTATTCAGAGGTAGACTGCTCCTTCAACAGGAAGTTCTATTTGGCTATTCAAACCTCTGAACATTGATAGACTCAACCACACCCAGGTTCTAGAGAAGGCTTCGCCAACCTGGTATAGCCCAAAACATCTCAGGGGGCACTATGTTGGCAAAGGTCCACATGTGAAAAAATTTTGGAAAATGTGAAAAAAATGGCTTTATTGCACTTTGAACGGAAATAATCTAGGAGAAAAGAGGGGAATTATTTTCAAATGACACCTTTAACCCAACAGAGCAAAATGCTTGCTTTGCTACCAGATACATAAGGGAATGCAAGCAGGACATTTTCGTAAGATCAATGGAACAACTCCCCTAGGAGGAAAATATGCAGCTTTCAGAACTGCCTTTCAGAAAACCAAGAACACAACATAAAGAGGAGCTGCGCTGTACCAAATCTGACCACAGATGCTTGCAGAGTTCTGTACTGACTGTGAGGAGCCCACCATAGCATCAGACAAGGGGACATTCCCAACCCTACCCAAGGAGGCCAAGGATTATCCTGTGGAACTTCTGCCTGCACCTCACCTACCCCACAGAAGCTAAAGGCACCAAGGAAGAGGGGGTGGGACGTGGGGTGCTCAAGCCAAAAAATGGGGGGGGGGCCAAACAAAAAGGCTTTGCGTCCTTTTTTTGTGCTGGAGTGCGCGCGGCGCGCGCCGGGCCAACACAACCCACCAACACAACCCACCTCGCCAGGCGCTGCCCTCGCCACCGCCACCAACGTTGTCGGGCACACGTGCCCAGAGCCAAGCGGGGCTGCGCTTCGCCCCTGCCTGCCCTTGCCAGGAGAAGCTTGGTCGGCAGGCAAATCCCGCTCCCCCACGCTGGTCTGGGACGCGCGGCGGCTAGTCCAAGCCGGGTCCTGGCGGCACTCAGGACGGGACGGGGTTCCCTGCGTGGGGGCGCCTGGCTCCCGCCCCCTAAAAATCGCGCGCTTGGGACTACCGTCTCCCTGGCCCATGTCCATACACACGTGCTCTCCGCATCTTCAGACCCGACTCTTTCCCCAGCCCTGCCTGGAAATACTGCGGGTAGAGTAACCCGCCCCCCCCCCCTGCACACACACATCGCAAAGCTCTACCTCCGCGCAGCAGCCCTTCCTCCTGAAACCAAGGACCCAAGGTCGAGGGCCAACCGGACACATCCCCAAAGCCACAGCCAAGGCTGGAGTGAAGAGCCAGAGGAGAGTTCGGGGTCTCTAAAGTTGTGCGGGACTCCGGAGTTCGGAGGCGAAGCGAGGCGGCTCCCCAACCCCCGTATTCCCCCCCAGAACCCTACCTACCCCAGGACTCTCCGCCGTCCCGCAGCACTTGGAAAGGGCACGGATGCGCTCCGCCCGGATGCTGAGCGGAGCCGCGGCCAGGAGCGCACCCTTGGCCGAGGAGGAGGAGGTGCAGCAGCCAGCGCGCTACAAGCACCCATTGCCACCCTCCTTCCCCCAACGCCAGGCAGATGGAAGTGGAAAAGACGCCGAGGACGCCCCAGCTGTTAGAAACAGAGATCCGGAGCCCCGCCCCCTGGCCAGTTAAACTCCAGGGAGTTTAAAGCGACTCTGCTTCCCCATTTCACCCCCACGGGGACCACACACCCTCCAAAAAATGAAACCCCCTATATCTTGCGAATACACGTGTATTCAAGCTTATAGCCTGAATCCAAGGAAATCCAAAGACCCCATGGCCGCCAACTTTTCAGCCTCCTCCAGACCCTGCCTTGAGGGTTGGCTCCCTAACAGGCTCCATTTTTTCCCTTTCTGTCCCCGGAATTGTCACCTGCAGATTTCTTTCTACCCCTGCGTTGCCCTTAAAGGCACAGGCACACCTGGCAGGTGCGTGGAGTCCAAATGACTGATAGACAGCAGGTTAGCGAAGGCCGGCTTAAGCATGCAGGTGGGAGCCACAGGCACAGAAAGATACAGGAGCTTTGGCAAAAATCTATAATCTAATTTCCAAAGAACATCCGGCGTTTAGGGTGGCGATTCTAGGAAAGACCAGCTGTCCGTCTGGGTCTTCTAACCAGCAGTCACACAAACAAGAATTGAGCTGTAAAAGTTTTCTGTTTCTTATTCGCCTCTCTGCCCCCAATCTCAGCTAAGTAGGAGCTGACACTACACAGGTGAGAGAAGGTGGCACTCTGCACATTCTCGTATTCATTGGGACTTTGGGACCCTGGCTGAAATTGGCTTTCAGCACACAATTACAGTAGTCCCTCAGGTTACATACGCTTCAGGTTACATACGCTTCAGGTTACAGACTCCGCTAACCCAGAAATAGTATCTCGGGTTAAGAACTTTGCTTCAGGATGAGAATAGAAATCGTGCTCCGGTGGCAGCAGGAGGCCCCATTAGCTAAAGTGGTGCTTCAGGTTAAGAACAGTTTCAGGTTAAGAACGGACCTCCGGAACAAATTAAGTACTTAACCCGAGGTACCACTGTACTTGGGAGTAAGTCCCATTGGACTCAACAATAGTAACTGTGATTTTAGAAAAACTACAGTGTTTAGAGGAGTGGCTGGTTTAGCAGATTTGGCTGCCACCAAGTGTTACAATGTTCCTGGTTTGTTTTAATTGTTTCGTTGGTGAAGAAGCCTCCAAGCCTCCAAGCCTTGACAGAAACATGCTAGGAGAACAAATGAACTTTGGACACGTTACCCATGTTGGAAGAAAAGAGATGGCTAGTGCCCTTCCATCAGTTGGGCAAATTCAGGAACAAATGAATTCCAAAGGAGGCTACAACAACAATAATCCTTCAACTGCAAAGGTGTCAGATGTCAGAATGAGAGAATGAAATGCCAGTTTGGGGATGTGATGCTTTGAAAGCAGCTGGCTGTAAGGAGGAGAACTGCCCGATTTTATTTTATACATTGTTATATTTAGACTACTAATCTGCTAGTAAGGCTGAGAAATGCTAAATTTAATGCCACCTCTTATTTCTGGGGAAGCCTGTTCATGTTGGAGATTGAATCTTGACATAACCAGTTAGCTATAGCATCGTGGCCACAATTTGTTGTCTAAAACCAGCATTTAATGAACAACTCCACTAAAGATGCCTCAGATTTGTAGTTCTGCTGGGGGATGGAAGAGACTAGGTTACGTTGCTTTAAATTTAGAAAATTGCAGGGTGATTCACAAACTTTGGCTCCCATAAAATAAAAACCTTCCAGTAAGAATCTTGAATTAAAAATCAAAAACAAAAAAACAATAGTAATTGTGAAGCTCCGACACCTTCTGAACCCAGGAAGGGCACTTAAATTCTAAGAATTAACAAAACTGCAATGTTTAAAATGTCCACTGTTTCATTGCAAAAGTGGAGAATAAGGGGAGAATCAGAACAGGTAAGGGCCACACTACTTTTCACTCTTTGAATTAATCTGAAGAAGCACAAACTTGAGGAATATCCACTTTATGAAATCATGCTTGCTTACTGAACTTTTGAGAGCTGATCTAAGACATTTTGCTGAGGGAAAAGGAGTGGCCAGTTTCTTCTAGCACATGAGGCAGAAAAGCAACAAACAGTGGGTAGGCAAACTAAGGCCCGGGGGCTGGATCCAGCCCAATCGCCTTCTAAATCTGGCCTGCGGATGGTCTGGGAATCTATGTGTTTTCACATGAGTAGAATGTGTCCTTTTATTTAAAATGCCTCTCTGGGTTATTTGTGGGGCATAGGAAATCCTTCCCCCAAAAAAATATAGTCCAGCCCCCCACAAGGTCTGAGGGACAGTGCTCTCCTGCTCCTTGTCCATAAAACATACAATAATGATACAGTGGTGCCTCGCAAGACGAAATTAATCCGTTCCGCGAGTCTCTTCGTCTTGCGGTTTTTTCATCTTGCAAAGCACGGCTATTAGCGGCTTAGCGGCTTAGCGGCTATTAGCAGCTTAGCGGCTTAGCGGCTATTAACGGCTTAGCGGCTTTAAGAAAAAGGAAACAAACTCGCAAGAACTCGCAAGACGTTTCATCTTGCGAAGCAAGCCCATAGGGAAATTCGTCTTGCGGAACGACTCAAAAAACTCAAAACCCTTTCGTCTAGCGAGTTTTTCGTCTTGCGAGGCATTCGTCTTGCGGGGCACCACTGTAAATTAAAATCAGGAACAACCTGTTGCCCCTCTCAGGGCATCTAAAATCAGCTGCCTGAGGCAGCCATCCTATTCTGATGACCAGGAACCTGCAGGTAATACTCCTCGGCACCTCTATGCCAATAAAACATTCCTCCCCTTCCAGTTCTGCTGCACAGCTGTTTAAAGCACTACTTTCCCCTGAAAAGTAGCAGACTTCCTATTCCTTTTCCTGCAGCATCCCATGCTCCCATTTCTAGGAAGGCCACTTCAACTTCATCTAGCACTCAGTCACTTTCTTCGCTGTCTTCCCAGTGCTCCTGGGCAAGCTCTACGGGCTCACTGACATCCCTGAGGTCCATAGACTATGCTGCAAACCACAGGGCAGACTATTTCCGCAAGCTGAACAAGGAGAGGGAATTCCACTACTCTGTCATCCAGTTCAAGGTGAATCACATGGTTTCCATGCTGCCTAGGAGGGGCAAAATGGCAGAAAACTACCGTATTTTTCACTCTATAGGACACACTTTTCCCCCTCCAAAAATTAAGGGGAAATATTTGTGCATCCTATGGAGCGAATGCAGGCTCCTTGGCTTCAGCAAAAGCAACGCAAAGCCTCCAAAGCGCAGAGGGAGCACTCCCTCCGTGCTCCGGAGGCTACGCATTGCTTTCGCTGAAGCCTGGAGGGACTCCTGGCTTCGGCGAAAGGAACCCGAAGCCTTTAGAGCACAGTGGGAACTCGCGCTGCACTCCAAAGGCTTCAGGGTTAGCTGGGGATGAAGGCACCCCGTGCCCTGCGGAGGCTTCGCACGAAGCTAGAACAGCTAGAGGAAGTGCTGCGCAGTGCTCCCTCTAGCTATTCTAGCTTTTGGATAGCCCCATGAAGCCTCCGCAGGGCATGGGTATCCCAGCGGCTATCCCAGAAGCCAGAACAGCAAGAGGCTATCCCAGAAGCCAGATCCCTCTTGCTGTTCTGGCTTCTGGGATTCAGAATTTTTTTTTTCTTGTTTCCTTGTTTCTTGTTTCCTCTCCCCAAACTAGGTCCTATTGTCTGGTGCGTCCTATAGAGCTAAAAATACGGTACATAGGCTGCCGCCCAGTGAAGTGCAACTTAAAGCCTAGACAGAGGATCAGCACAAGCCTCATAAACCTCAGAGACTTTGCACTGTATTCATCATATGACTGCTTCTGAGAAATGGGATTGTGAGATCTGGCACACATAACTGCCATACAGGGGGTGCTGCTGGTTTGGCGGTCGTGGTTTTTTTAACTTGGCCATGCCATGGAGAAGAATGGTTTGGAATGCCAACCAATATGCACCTTGTGGCACAAAGGTAGCCATTGCATGGAAACACCTTCACGTTGCTCTTTGTGGCTTACATTTTCTGTGTGTCCCTTGTAAGTGCTCCAGCCTTCACACTTGGTCAATTCTCTACTGCCCTTACAAATGTTGCTTTCTAGTGGTTTTTTTGGTCTAAGAAATCATGGGGTGGCTTGCTTTTATCAAGGCACTATAATATTAGATGTTTAGAAAGGGGGGGAGTGTTTGCAACTGTGACTGTAGTATTCATCTTTTAAAAATATAAACTTTGCATGTTTTTGCACAGTTTCTGTATGCATATCAGCTATATGTAATAAATAAATCATCATCATCCTCTTTATACCCCACCCATTTCGCTGGCTTTCCCAAGGGACTCCGGGGGCTTACAGCATATCTAAAAACATCCAGCATTAAAAATCTCCTGATACACGGCTCAGGAGATCGAGAGGGAGAAGAAAGAGAAGGCAGGAAGGGTAACCATGTCAGATCACTAACTCCTGAAAATACAAATGTCTTCCAGATACATTGCCCATAAACTCCACCTCTTGGTCCAACACCTCTTCCATGCTTAGCTAATCTGTTCCTCCTTCTCTCTCCGAATAATGCAATGTTAACTCGGGTTAAGAACTTAATTCGTTCTGGAGGTCTGTTCTTAACCTGAAACTATTCTTAACCTGAGGTACCACTTTAGCTAATGAGGCCTCCTGCTGCCACTGCGCTGCCTCCCCCAGATTTCTGTTATCATCCTGAAGAAAGTTCTTAACCCAAGGAACTATTTCTGGGTTAGCAGAGTCTGTAACCTGAGGTACTGCTGTACTATATGATTTCCATTCAAATGTTTAACTTATAACATATAACATACACACTAATATAAGCATCATCAAAATACCAAATAGAAGTATTTTAAATGTTGGTCATGGTAGGGTTCTATCCTGAATATATGTCCCACCAATGGATCTACAAAAGAGTTACTCCAGAGATGGAAAAGAAGTATCCTGACGATACTGGGATACTGGAGCAGGACCTAGCCCCCTGTCACACATCGAAAGTGGGGAGGAAATTCATGACAGAGCAACAAATAGAGGTACTTGATTGGCCAGGGAATTCCCCGGATGTACATCCCATTGAGAATTCGTGGGCTATATGCAAAAGTCACCTC